GAAAAATGGCCGGTTTATAGGGAATACTGAGGTGGCCGACTCGGTGGTGTGGCCGACTCGGTGGTGAAATACGTTACTACGACCGCCGTGACTCAGCCGGTCATCCATGAATCCTCTCGTGGCTTCCATATAAATTGACTTTGCATTGCTTTCGCCTTTGCCGCCTCACCCTTTGTTCTTCCGTTTTTTCACCTGGAGATCTCCGTTCCCGATCCAACGCTACCTCCTTTCTCCTCCTCATCCCTATCTCTCTCGTCTCCGCTTTCGCCAGTATATATAAGCCCTCATCGCCTCCTGCTCTTCCTCTCTCTCTCTTCCTCCGCTCCCTCCCTTATCCATCTACTCCCAACTACCTCTTTTCCACCCCATTCCTTCCTCGGCCTAAACCACCGCACCCTTCTCGGCCCTCCACGTCCACGTCACCCGCAAACGTCCGCTGCTCATTCCACTGAACATTCGGTCTGCACCTCTCGTGACTGCGATCGATATCGTTTTTCGAGACTTTCTTCACGTCTTTTGAAGAAAAACAATTCGAGAGAGAAAAAAAAAAAAGAAAGAGTCGCTCTCGCTCGTTTCTTACCAGACGACTCTCCCCTTCGCTAGTTATCCTCAGCGCTTATCGGCCCCGTTCCAACATTCCTCCACACCACCTCCGTTCTGACTCGCCACTTTTGCATCATGGCTCCCCGTAAGCCCCGCTGCAACTTCAAGGAATGCAAGGAAGCCGCCCAGCGCATCGTCGGCGACTGCAGCTTCTGCCTCGGCCATTTTTGCTCCAAGCATCGTATGCTCGAGGCCCACTCCTGCACCGGCCTGGAAGACTGCAAGAAGGAATCCCACGCCCGGAACGCCGACAAGCTCAACAATGAACGCACCCAGGTCATTAAGGGTGTATGAGACGAGCTCACTCCGATCCGGGTCTCGCTCCCGTACAGCATCCGATTACATTTCCCTTCTTCACGATTTTTTGCGGTTCTCGGTCATCGAACCGGTTGATAAGTTTTAGCGCGGTGTCCGATTTGAGTCTGAACAGTTACCGCGTGGAATCCCGTTTATTTACTTCATCTTCTCGTCATTAGCAACAGCCGCATGGTCTTCATAACCGTTATTTTATGTTTTGGGCTAGGAAGGATTTTTTCTCCCTTTTTACTTATTCGATTTCACTACCTTGATCTTGGATCGATCGAGATCATGTGCAAGGCGTTGTTACCTGGGGAGTTTTGTTGACTACGGTTTTGAATTAGTTTTCGCATGGATTCCGCGGATCGATCGTCTGGCAGCCTTGTCCGCGACGACACGATCCACGGATTTCCCCCTTTTCTTTTGTTCTAATTTTCAACTCAACATTTATTTTACCACCATCATCTCATCGTTTTACCATACTCTTTTTTTTTTTTTTTTGGCCCAGTCATAGACTTTTGAATAGATTAGCGGTTCCAACATCTCGTTGCCCGTGTCACATAAGCGAGAGTGCTTTTTAGGGATATACTTTGCATAATTGCTGCCATGGATTGTCCAACCACAAGTCTAGAGAGGACAGAAAGCGTGGCCGCAATCTACAGGCACGACGAGCAGGAGTCTCCCGCTGGCCAGCAAAAGCTCGTCGTGGCCAGTGAGCCGGCGGAACGTAGCCGTGTATCATATGATGCTGGCTAGACTAGCTGCCTGGTAGAGTATCCAGTGTTAGTGTTAGTCTTGTTAACTATGATTTTACTAGGGATTTTAAGCAGCATTGCATCGGACGAAACAAGTCTAGTCAGAATCAATTCAGCCATGTAAAGAATGGAATAAATATACTGTACAGCATAATAACGATTAAAGCCATGTCAGCGAAACACAACGAAACAGAAACGAAAAAACTCCCCAAATCCCAACCAACAAAGAATGAAACCCAACCAAGCCCTTTCCCCCTCCGTTTCGGCAAGAAGACCGAAAATGATGTGATGTGATTGATAGCCACTGCAATCCCTTCGTCTCTGCTTTTTCTTTTGCTTTGTTTTTATTTTTGGTCTTAACCCGGTCCGATCTTCGGCCTGCATTGGATGTCGTCAGTTTGAAAGATGTCCACAACATCCATAACAATACTCCGTACAATGTGCACACATGGTGTAGTTATTCTGGGCAGTGGGTAGTGGGGGAAAGGGAAGACTTACATGTCGTGATGTTCACTCAGTCGACTCAGGTACTTGTTGAGCTCTTCCACTCGCTCTTTGTGTGTTTTGACTCCTTCGCGTTTGAGCCGTTCCTGGAGCTGTAGAAGTGAGTTCTTTTTTTAGTATCGTTTCCAGAACATCTGACTGAAACAGAACAGAATAAAGGCGAGGAGGGGAGAGTAAAATAACGGAATACAAGACACAGATGAGAGAAATAGACATACCCGCTTCTTCTTCGCATCCTCATACTTCCTTTCCGCTTCCGTCTTACCCACTACCGCGCCCCCGTCTTCCTCTGCTGCTGGGGCTGTTGTGGTGTTCACCTCCTCGTCAGAAGATCTCCCCTGGCTCTGCCGACCCGGACCTTCGTTGTTGTCTTCGTTATCCTTGCTCAGGTCGTCCTTGCTCAGGTCGTCCTTGCCCCCGTCGCCGGCCACATCCCCCTTGGTCGCATTCTCCTCCTCTTCCTTCTTCTTCTTGGACTTCCTCTTTTTCTTGTCTACTCGGCCGTCGCTGACCTTGGAGCCTTTGAGTTTGAGTTTGCCGCCTCCGCCCGTGGCGTATTCGCTTGGAGGCATGTTCTCCCCTCTATTCCCCCGTCTATGTTTAGATAGTTATTTTTTCTCGGGATTGGGGAGTGAGAAATGAGGAGATGCTGAAAGAGGTATGGATGAGGATTAACAACCGTGCCGCTTGGCTTTGATGGCATCTAGTGCGGGTTGTGGGTTAGCGTGGTCGCTGCTTTAAGTAAGGGGTCATGTGACTTGGTTGGATGGGGTCTAGAGAGGGTGTAGTTGGGGTGGATTATCTCTGGGTAGAATTGGTCTGATTTTAGAGCTGCTGAATGATCTTCATTATCAAGCATTGTCTACTTTAGGTTCCCATCTCAGGGCTTGTTGAGATCGTGCTGTGTTGAGGCTGTGTTGTTGATTATGGGTGGGCTTATAGATACCGACTGGTATAACTACAACATGAATGAATGTAGATATGTGATGTACGATAGTTAGTTACTAAAGATTGATTAGTCAATTTAAGGTTAATTGGTATTGAATTAGTATAAAATGCTACTATAACCACAATGATCAGATAATTCCTGCACGGACTAGTAGAAATAATGGTAACTCCCGTTTATCTTCCCTGCTCTCCGTGCCCTAGGGAATTAGATTCAACGCAAGAGCCATCGGAGCATAGCATTACCAGATTCAGGAATATCCAGATATTCAAACATAGGTCTAGACCAACTCCATTGTATAGGACCGTAGGTATACTGAAAACCCCCGTCTGGGATATGTCCAGACCAAGTTTATTCTTGCCAGGATATCGAAAACTTCCCCATTCCTCTACATGCGGAAACTTCAGTATGCAAACACTGTTCTGTTTGATATCTTCGAAGATTAAAGTTATCTGCACATACAATATCAAAGATACATATATGTATATATAGCTCGACATTCCTGCATGTCAAATCGTCCTCGTTCACCCCCCATCCCGGTCTTCCTATTCGAATACTTCCCCAAACCCACCAAACCAACCCCAATGTGCAACATGAGCGGCCCCCTGCTTATGAGTACCCCTCGCTCTTCTATTTCCCCACCCCTATCCACCACCAGCAGCACCACCCTTGTCGACGCAGGCACCCAAACCAATAATTATTGGGTCGAGTCCCGGCACGGAACTCCCGGCGCCGAAAATGTCATCTATTACGTGCATTTCCCTATCCAGGGACGCAGGCAGGATCATATGGCCTACCAGGATGTTCTGTGGTTCCTTCATCGCGATCTCGTGGCGAATGACTTTGTGCTGTATCGGGATGTGGCCCGGTGTCCTCGCAGCGGCGCGATGCTGATGGTGGAGAATTATCAGACTGAGGAGGTGCGGCAGGTGGCTCAGCGTGCTGTTCATGAAAAAATGCGGTTGCACGGGATGGCTTGTTTTTGTCCTAGGGAGAATGAGGCGAATGGTGGAGTGAACTGTCTGTTGTCGAATGGATTAGTGGTCGGTGTTCCGAGGGACGAGGTGACAGGTGTCTTGCCTAATGAAGTTAACGGCCACGAGGGCAGCCAGTATCTTGAGAAAAAACAAAGCGTGGACGAGAGCAGCAGCAGTGACAGCGACGGAGATGATGACGATGCTGCGGCGGCGGCCCAGCTTCAGGATGATGTGCAAGCGGCAGCAGATGAAGCGTCGTCATATGCTTCAGATACCGATTTTTATGATTCAATTTCTGAGGAAAGGTCCGAGTCCGCTCCCCCGGATGATGAAACTAATTATCTGTTGTGTCCGTACGTCTGCTAATCAGTTAGTAGTGATCGCTACCCTCTTTCGGATTACTCGCGGTCACGACGACGAAGTGTCTTTCTTTTTGTGTGCTGTTCTTGCTTTGGCAGGTGACCGGCAAATGCCATTGTTGTTGTATTTTGTATCTCTGGAGTGAGCGCTTTTTGTTATGTTGGCCTTCAGATTGACCGATCTTGTGAGGTTGGTTGGTTTAGGAGCCTGTTTGAAAATCCTTGTTTGAAACTAGACTCTTGACGCGAGTAGATGTCGAGGGTCTGGGAAAATGAGAAGGAAAAAAAGTTAAGTTGAATTATCCCAAGTTTGTAGATTGTTCTATTGGATTGTAGTATTTCGTTTGAATGTTCAGTCGAGTTCTCAAGTGGATATCCTTTTTCATGGGATGAGAGCAACCGAGTTAGTTTTGGCTGTGCAATGGTACTGCCGACGTTGTGATTATCGGTTTATTGAAGCTTGCATGATAGTTTCTCATGGTTTGACATAGCAGTGACGGTTTTTGAAAGGAATAAGAAGGTTGCTGAGAGTTAGCCCCTGATGTATCTGAAAGAGCACGGTTAGTAGAAGAATAAGAAGAATATCAAAAAAAAATAATTATATATCATATCCCAACTAAACCTGTGTTCGATTCATGCATCATAAGAGTCAACATCATCTAGTCAAATGGAATTGGTCGCAACCCTGATCCTCCGACACGTTTCCGCATCTCCTCGCCCGCCGCCACCGAGCTCGGCACCTTGATGCCGCAGCAATCGCCAAAGTGGTCGGTATGCTGAGCATGGGCGTGATCATTGCCATGGTCATGGTCGTGTTCATCGAGCATGTCCTCGGTCATCTCTCCCATGCCCTCGGCGGCCGGTAACAGACTACCGAACAGGAAATGTTGCATAATGGGTAGCTTGCCCAGGACCTCTTTGACGAACATCTTTTTCATGCCGCCTTCAATCTTCGTCCAGTTCTTGGCCCCCGAGATATCGTCCAGCATTGGACTATGCCACCGCAGTCCCTTGACGTTTTTCACGCTATCCACCCAGCGCACCTGATCCAGGTATATGTATTGGTCGCCTTCCTCGTCGAGAATGGCCGTGTTGTGGATCCCAAGGGGCGTGATGTAAGGGTGGCCGACGAGTTGCGAGGCGCCGAACAGGAACGGGAGGAAATGGTAGTCATCCAAGCCCCAGACACCGTGGGAGCCGGCGGGTTCGAGGTAGTATGTGGCTTGCACCTGGCGCATCAGATGCATGTAGTTGACGTAGACTTGGAAAACGACCAGGGGGAAGTCTGGTTTCGAGAAGATCGACATTTGGCGAAGGCACAAGAGCCACATCATGAAGTTCAATTCGTGTCCGGAACCATAGTCTAGTCGATCCCGCGAGCCGAGCGAGTGAATCAGATATGTTGACGTTTCTTCGACGGCGGCCGCATCTTGCATTCCCAGGATATCCCGGTGCCAGGCGCCGCATTGCGCAGCCACATCGTCAAACAGATCGCGGAAAGCGGGGTTGCCAAATCTCGAGCCGCCCTGGTCGATGCCGGGATGTCGTTCTAGAAGCGCGTGGAGATTATTCACCACCGACTGGATCTTCGAGATATTGGGAGAGGGGGTTTGGCGGTTGAGATCGGTCGCGGCCCGTCCACGCACCGAGTCGGAAAGACCAAAGATAAAAGCAAGGATTAGGGTGTAGGTAGGTGAGGAGAGGAAGCGTTCATGATCATGCTTCGATAGGATCCGACGCACTGGTCGTGCGTACTGATGGGATGATAGATCGGGCGGATTCGTGAGAGGCGGGGTGACGGGGGCTGGTTCTCGAGACGGCGCCGATTGAGAGTTGCGATTACTCGCTCGAAGCTCCGAGAGCTTTTTCGACAAGTCGATCTTGCCGGTCGGGGGTTGATTTGGCACGGACACTTCAGAAGCCATTTTGAACTTAAAGGGGGTGTTTTTCACACGCTCAGTTGACTTGTTCACACGACGTGCGACGGAGGTCACTTTCGTCACTTGACGGGGCCCTGATGACATAAGAAGACTGGGAGGGGACCCGGGTCAGACCGCCTTCTGCATTTGAGTCCCGCTGTGATCCAAACAGGCTTAGCTCCCGGACCGTGATCATCATGTGATCGACACCGGGTTAACCGTAAGTAGTTAGCCGGAGAGCCGTCCAGTAGGGCGCGTGATGCAGCGTTGCTTAAAGGAAAAGAAAGAAAAGAAAAGAAAAAAAAAAGACCAGTTGGAGTTCAGCTGCCGTCAGGCCAACTGAAAGATTCCGTCATTGAGAAAGAAAGAGAGAGAGAAGTCTGCACCCTTGTCTTTTTATTATCATGTCGCCCTTTTCTCTCCGTCCTCTTAACGTCAAGTCACTCTAGTAGAGGAAATGTTTTGACGGGTCCCACGGATCGATTCTTATCTCTACCTTAATCCATCTCCACCCTCCGGAGAAGTAGGGGTTTGTTTTCCGAAATCCACCTAATCATCCTTCACGATTCATGTATGACCCCTGCGATCGTGCGAGCACGCCATCATGGACTACTCTGATTTGATCCGTCCGAACGCCAGGGAGGTCAACGCTTCATCTCCCACGCATCGATCTTCATCCCCCCATTCGTCTCGCAATGAACCCAGACGCATGCCTTCTTTCGGCTCCCAGAGACACGCCCCTGCGGCGCCTGATCAGGGCCCGCTGCAACCAGCCAACGAATCTACACCCATCGTGAGGGGATCCGACTCGATCAGACGCAATTATCATTCCACCGACGGCCTGCGGAATCGGGACTCGGGGTCCGGAGATGCGCCTGGAAAGAACTCGGCGCAACGGGATGCCAGAGATGCCGACCAGCAGGCTCAGCCGACAGAATCTGCAGAGCCCAAGGCGTCGTGGTATAGCCAGTTTGCTGATCGGTACGGGAGTCTCGAACTGGAAAACAAGGGGAGTGTTGCTCGTGATCATCTGGCATTAGGTGCGCTTATTTCGATTCTCACATCTTTAATCCGCTCGCATCCTTTTTTGATTAACTATATTATGACTGGTAGAACGGACATTCCTCGCCTGGCTGAGAACATCACTGGCTTTCGCATCCATTGGAATAGCGGTGACCCAACTGTTCCGCTTGAACAGCTCTACTAATAGTAACATATCGAGTGCCGAGGTTTCGTCGCATGGCCTCCCTCCACTTATGTCGCCTCCGTTCTACGATCCCAACGCTGTCCACGCCACTATTACTTCTGAACGTCTTCGCAGTATTGGTAAACCTCTCGGAACCACATTCATTGGCGTTGCGATATTGATTCTCCTGGTTGGTTTCCACCGCTACTTTGAAAGCCAGTATTGGATCATCCGGGGTAAATTTCCTGCTAGCCGTGGCAGCATCGCGTTTATCGCGTTTGTAGCCGCTGCCCTGATCATAGCGGCCCTAGTCGTCATTCTGGCCATTTCCCCAGGCGCCGTTGAAGGCTAGCGCTGTACCTTCATCCATGTATTTTGGGAGGCCTCGTATCATGCAGCGTTGCTATATGTATGCTTATTCCAGCGAGTTTAGCGTTCTGCATATATCCATCAGGTTATGCATTAGATAGATAATGAACCATTTGTGAATTGTTGTTGGGGTGTTTGGTCTGTGGCGGAAGTACTTGAGCAGATCTCCTTCCTTACCTACGATTTGAGCATATGCGGACAATCTTTGTGATTGAGTCGCATCCACACCAACGTCAATCGCAACTCTGAGTCACATCGGGATCGCACTTCTCTACTACTTCTACCAGCGTTCCACACACGTCTCTCGGGTTTGTGCCACCAGCAGCAAGTGTCAAATCTCCAGGTTTCCGTGTTGAAAACCTCATCTTGTGAAATTCCTGAGTATCCCTTTTCAACTTCCTGAGTACCGACATTCCTAAACCCGTCCGACGACTTATGCTGAACTGCCCAGCCTTCATAATTATGATCCTCCACGCTCGTTCGAGATATCTCAGTCATAGTTCCCAGAGTATGAGTTTCGTCGGTCGAGTCTGGCGGGGCTTTGTTCGGTAGGCGCGGCATTTCCAATCTGCTCATAATTTTCGATTGGACAAAGGGTGTTCTCGGATTTTACACAGATGGTTCATCTTGAAAGAGCCGCGTTTGGTCATCCTTAGCCCTTGTCGTTCTTTGCGGCGGCTTCATTCTAGATCTGTAAGCATGTTGGATCGGCCATTCTGAGTTGATGGTTAGCCTGGAATCTGGATATTGGTTAGGGTTGACTGCCTCCAGTCAGGAGGACCATGCAGGTGTCGCAAAAGGACGAACGCGAACGTGCAGGCGATCTCGCGATCTTCCAACACCACCCGCACACCGCTTTCCAATCCCAGAGTGCAGAATCTACAGTCATTTCCCCGCTGTCGCAGCGATGCACTGGATTTAATTAGACCCATATAGACTGCTGTCCGTTCATTCTTTTTTCATACATAGACTGTGAAACGCTGAGATATCAAAATGCCAAGGGATCCGCTCATCGGGTTGGTGGGAAAGGTCTGTCTCTCCCCCTCTCTCCCCGCGCAAAACACGCCGCTGACTGAACTGAGGGGCATCTAGCCATCTAGCGGGAAATCGACCACGCTGAACAGTTTGACCGATGCTTCTTCCAAAGTTGGTAAGGGATTTGAATTGCATATTGGAATTGCTAGGCCTGCTAACCATGAAATTCCGCATCTAGGAAACTTCCCGTGAGTGAACACCTCCGTCTCAATCTACGCCCAGATATGCGCTCTGCATACTACTTCTACTACATATACCGCACCGTTTCCTTCGAGAACGCTCTAACATTTCTGCGACAACATTAGTTTCACCACTATCGACCCTCAGCGCGCCATTGGTTATCTTCAAATAGAATGCGCCTGCCAGCGATTCAACGTCTCGGATAAGTGCAAACCGAACTACGGAGGCTGTTTCGAGGGACGACGGTCTGTCCCGATTGAGCTCCTCGATGTGGCTGGCCTTGTGCCGGGTGCGCATCAAGGCCGAGGGCTGGGAAACAAGTTCTTGGATGATCTGCGTCATGCAGACGCCTTGATCCATGTGGTGGATGTCAGCGGAACAACAGATGCGGAAGGTCTGGTAGCACCCTGTATACGCAGCATAAGGATAGTGGTTGACATATATGTGGGAAAATAGGAAAGGCAACACGAGGATATGACCCTTCGCAAGACATTGAATGGCTGCATTCGGAGATTGTGCGATGGGTTCTCGGAAACCTGATGCAGAAATGGTACGTATGCTACGTCGCTTATCAATATCAATTGCTGATTGTCGGTAGGGGATCGATCAAGAGAAGACATATGGCTATCAGTTAGTACTCATGTCATCTTTGCGGACTTACGACGTGTACTGACCTTGACTGAAGAGTCGACGGCTGTGGATACCCTGCAGAACCAGTTCTCCGGTTACGGGAGTACGACACAGATCGTGGGAAGGTGCTTGGACCGAATAGGGCTAAAGCAGCCCCTTGAGGAGTGGTCGGACGAAACGATCCAGAAAGTTGTGGAAGCGTTCATCGACGAGAAGTTCCCCACGGTGTTTGCCTTGAACAAAATCGACCATCCCGACGCAGACAAGGTTCGTGATTATCCCATGTGGCTCTCGGCTTGGATCGCTATTAACAGCAATGGATGCAGAACGTCAGCAAAATTGCCAAGATGCAAGACTCGCAGTCTATTGTGCTTTGTTCCGCCATTTCAGAGGTGTTCCTACGAAGACTCGCGAAGCAAAATTACATCAAATATGTGGAAGGAAGCGAATTTCTAGATACGCGAGAAGATCTTATAGATATGGGCGATGCCGATGGGGGTGGATTGAAGGAGATGGACGAGAAGTTGAAGACGTACGATACCCCGCTGCAGTTCCTCTCGACATCTCCGCCTAACGTTGAACCAGCCGCGTCGAGAACATGAAAGACATGGTACTGTACCGCTTCGGATCTACCGGAGTAGTACAGTGTCTCTCGCGAGCTGCGGAACTTCTAGGACTTGTGCCCGTTTTCCCCGTCAGAAACCTTTCGACTTTCTCGTCCGGTGCCGGATCCGCAGCATTCCGAGATTGCGTTCTTGTGAAGAAGTGAGCCTTCCCACAGCCTTCCCACATCCTTCTGGCTGTATGTGTCTTGCTAACCCCTAGTAGGAATAGCACGGTGGGCCAAGTTGCTCAGAAGGTTATGGGTGATGTACCAATTTCCTACATCGAAGGAGTTGGTGGTGTCCGTGTCTCGGAAGACGACATTGTTGCTGTCGGGAAACACGATGTATGTGCATTAACATTCTTGGTTTATTCTCATGATTCATTGCTGACCGCTCCTTTTTCTCTCCCATAGGTACTCAGCTTCAAGCCTGGCCGTTAAACTATTGTGATACAATTCTGTACATCTAATGTCTGGTAATGAACGATGCAAGGGAAAAAAAGATGATGTTTCCAAGTGCATCCCCATAAACCACAAAACAAAAACAAACCACCTTCTAAACAGCGGGGTTCAATGACCCTTCTGTATAATCAGAGTACGTCAGCCATTGACCTCATTAACAGACCAAAAAAAAAAAAAAAAAGAGAAGGCAGGAAGACACCACAACATACCTGTGCTCTCTCATCATTCATCCCGATAATCGGCTCCGGTGCCTTCGGATGCTCTTTCTTAGCTTGCTTCCCATGCTGTGCCCCTCCCCTCTCCGTCGTGGCCTGCGACTTCGCATCGTCCGGAACCCCTTCGGATTCGTTCCGCTCTTGTATTCCAGCACCCGCCGAGTCCGTAGTCGGATCCGTGTTATCCCCTCTCTTGGTCCTGCGGGACGTGTGATCTCCCGCGCCTGTGCCCTTCCAGTCTGGCGCTAATGTACCTTCGAAGCGCCTCTGTCCGCCTCTTGTGGCAGATTGTAGCGAAAGCAAGTAGGGAGAAGGACGTTGGATGGGAGCGTTTCGAAGTAGTGGCATTATAGCCAGGAGGCGAGGATTGGTAGGCATGGTGAGGGATGTGTTGATTCGGTTGTAGAACGAGACAACTCTAGTAGATAGGTAGGTAGTAAGAGTATCGCCGTCGAAGGATGTTCAATGTAATCAAGAATCTTTTTCCAAACAAAAAAGCAATCAATGTCAATTAACTAGAATGTATGTATCTGGGAACTACGGTTTTCATTTTTATCGCCATCAATGTATCTGGTAGCTGCTGGTTATGACGTCTCGATGCTGCAATGTCTGGCTTTGCCGGATTGGGCAAGTAGGGCTTAGGTTTCAGCTTATCGATAAGGAGATTCATCGACTACAAAATTGAGATGACAAGGCTAAACTCCGTCGTAGTATACTTCAAGGTAAGTATAGAGCACATATATCGTTCTAATTCACCTACACTGCATCCTTAGAAACAAATACTGCGATACCGCGCATCAGTGCATCGGAAGTACGCAGTAATATCAGCTACCCACCCAAACAGGAAGCATGACTAGGGCTTAGGGCAACCAGCCTAACTAAGTTCTTATCGATAACAGCAAGGTGGGGGTGACGCAGAGACCCCGGGCATTCAACCACTTCAATAGTTGAGCTGAGTCGGTCTAAGCTCTTCAAGTACCTTCATACATAAAAGTTTACACCTTTAGGTCCAGAAAACACACATCCTGAGAATCTAGGAACCCGTTATGAGACGCGAATACCTACTCCTCGAGACCCTTCCTTCCTGGGCGCGCCTGAACGGCATCACGACCAATGGCGTCGCGTTCCGGAAGCTCGCGCCGACAGACGAAGGCGACGACAAGGGGACTGCGATTGTCGCGACAGAGGAGAGGGTGAATGCGACTGAAGAGGGAGATGGGGGTTCCGGGGAAGTTCTGCTGAGCGTGCCGTCTGATATGGTCCTTTCGCTTCAGGCGGTTGAGGCGCATGCGAAGTCAGATCGGCATTTGAGGGAGGTGCTGGATGCGGTAGGGGAGTTTGGGAGGGTATGTCCCCTTCATATATATTTTTCTTTTTTCTATCGTGCCTAGGGCCACTCTTGCACAGACGGGGGATTCATACAGTCTTGTTTATTTGGGGAGTTAAACAAGCTGATGAAAGCAGACCGCGCGCGGCGCAATCCTGATCTTCTTGATCATGCAAATCACACATTCGAGTCCGGACTTCAGCTCCGAGTCGCATAAGATCGGGGTATCGAATCCCTGGTCCGAATACGTCAAGTACATGCCGGCGTCGATCACGTTGCCTACGTTCTACACGGAGGAAGAGCTGGAGCTGCTCCGGGGTACTTCTCTCCGGTTAGCGATCGATGCGAAGGCTATCTCTCTCGAAAAAGAGTTTGAGCATCTGCGTAAGTCCACGGAGAGTATATCCTGGTGCGAGAAGTTGTGGTGGGATGAGGAAACCGGGAGATTTACGTTCGATGACTGGCGCTATGTCGATGCCGTGTACCGATCGCGCATGGTCGATTTACCGAGCAGTGGCCACGCGATGGTTCCCTGCGTTGATATGGCAAATCATGCATCGGATGATGCGGTGAAGGCGCTGTATGACGAAGATGTTGAGGGGAATGCCGTTCTGCGGTTGCGTTGGGGCAAGAAGATGAATGCTGGCGATGAGGTTACCATATCGTAAGTCTTCGGTTGATTCTGTGCGTGTGCATGGTCAGGGACGAAAACGGCTGATGCTCGTGGCGAGGGTTGCAGTTATGGCAACGAGAAACCAGCGTCGGAGATGGTTTTCTCGTACGGATTTCTTGATCCCGAACAAACGACGGCCAATCAGGTCTTCGTCGATCTTGATATCCCCAATGACGATCCGTTGAAGATGGCAAAGATGGCGTTCTACAAGGATGCGCCAGGTGTTCGGATACTATCGCCTCCTGCAGATTCAGAAACTCAGAGCACCAGCTGGGACAGCCCATTTGTTTGGTGGGCTTGCGTCAACGAGGAAGATGGCCTCGATTTTAACGTGCTGCAAACCAATGACGGCGGGCGAGAGCTGAGAGCTAGTTGGAAAGGCGAAGAAGTGGACCTCTCCGGGGATCTCAGAAACTGCTTAGCTTCGGACCCCCTATGGGATTTATTCCAGCTGCGAGCCGTAGTGACAATCCTGGATCGGCTGGAAACCCAATTTTTTACGCTTCAGCAGACCCAAGCGATGATTGCGGAGATCAGGCAAGACGAGAGTATGCGAGAAATCTTCAGGCCTGACGTGTTTGGTACGGTGATGAGACTGCGGGATTTAGAAGTGAAGATGTTGGAGAAGGCGATCGGGGACCTCGCGAAACAGGTAAGCGATCTCATGTCGACTGATGCTCGTTTTTGGTTTTCACCGTGAACGCTAATTCTTAATCCACCCTTGTAGAGAGACGATTTGATGACCATAGAGACGGTCAGCGCTTATCTCAGCAGCCAACAGTCAGGCGATATCGAAGAAGATTTCTCGTGATGCAGCCATCCAATGCATTATGATTCATTGAAAATGTAATGGCACTCCACATTCAGGGCGTCTTTCGATAGATGACATATTAGGACAATCATGACGACCCGATCTTCAATGTTGACCAAAGTTTTGGGCCAGCCACGCGTGGGGACTTGAAATCCATCAAATCACACGGAGGGATCGACTTCTCCAGTTGGGGTACAACGTGGATTGACCAAGAATTGGGTCGCGAGCTCGCGCTTGACCAGACTACCGACACCCGACAGTCGGGGTGCGATGACGTTCTCCGGCCCCAAAGTAAGTTTCAACCGGATCTTTGTACCAGGGGAACTGGGGTCTGGGTGGCAAAGGCCGACTCGCGGAACAAAGTCGGGGAGTAACGTGAGTACCATGGATTCCGTAGTGCTAGATTGAACACATGAAGTTATTTCGCGACCGTTTCAGGCTGTAACGATGGGTAATACCAGGAACCAGAACTCGAGGTTGGCCACGAAGTACCGACCATGAACATGTTGAAGTTTGAGCCGCGTCTATTGCGGAAGTCGGTGTTGGATAAGCTCATGGTGCAAAGTCTGTACAGGGTACACCGTGCATACTCCGTAGTGCGTCGAGAACTGAGGTATGAGGCCTTCCGGAAATAGAACCTCGGCAGTTGACGGCAGCCGTCAGCCCAAAACGTCCAAGACTGGAAACTTTGACCTCCACAGCTGCCATTTTCTCGGTCAACTCTCGGCCTCCCTTCACCTGCTCATTTCCCTAACCAGACTGCGATACCATCCATGGGCCAAACCTCTTCTTTGAGGTGGGATGTCTGAGCAATGGTCTTAATCTCATAGGCCCCCCAAACAAGGTTATTTTTGGCCTCCCTCTCCGCGCAAAGTTCAACCCCACCTCGCGGACAACGCCAACCAACTTCCAAGAATCTTGTCCTCCAATCCCTCGACAGTCGTTTCTCAGGATCGGACGATGGAACTCGGATTCCCCGCGATTCTCTAGCCGTGAACGACTGGGGGAATTCTGACCAGTCACGACACGCGACCTGATTTCGATGGCTCGATCAGACCCGATTCCACTCCAAAGGGGGAAATGGCAAGAGAATGATAGATGGACTACAGTGTATGGACAATGGCAGCCTTTGTGGCGGAGAGATTCGGCCAAGACTCGGGCCTCGTAATAATGTGGACGGAGAGCCCTGGCTTCCCTGTCCGATGGAATCCTGATGGCGCTTTTTAGCCTGAGACCATTATTATTATTATTATTATTTTTATTTTTTTTCAGGGAAAAAAGAGGAAGAAAAAATACCAGAAAATCCCGCAGAGCCAGGGACCGATATTTGATTCGATGCGACAGCTTCCGTTTTACCTTGACGCATCTTGCAGAGGCCCTTGTCCGAATCGGCGGCATTGGCATGCACTCGCGTTATCCTTCAACCTTTTTTAGGATCTCCCGTCACTGCGGGGAGGAGGGGAAAACCGAGAGAGACCGAAAGAGAGGGGGGCAATTGGGTCGGAAAGGCAGGAAGGATCTTCGTTTTCATTCACACTTGGGTGACTGACTTTCAGTGACTTGCCCTCCAGGTCCCAAGGACCTCTGGGAGCACAAAGTGTGGAAAAAGCTTTAATGGTTCCGAAAGTGGACGATCACCTCCAAACCGGGGACCGCAAGTTGTGACCATCACGAACTAGTTGGGACATCGATAGTCCGATACGCACCGAATTCGGAGTAGTTCTGGCTGTTGACAGGATTCGGGACCCTGACGCATTATGTGTCCTGCGCCATACTATATTGTGTTCAGCGGACGGGAAGTGAGTTCGTGAAGAACAGAGGACCGTCGAGGACGATCCGACATCGCCCCTGGCTGAGTCGAGGGATTGTCGTTGGAGGAAATGCTAGGGAGGAGATATCGCACCCATGACGATTCGGTGCCTAGGCCAAGACGATTGCATTCATCGGCCATGCTAAGGGCAATAGTTGGATGTATGTAGGGAGACGGTTTGCGCACGTCGTCATCCTGCGGTGCGAGTTAGGGAGGTTATTTGAATTCTGGCCTGCTTCCGGTGTAGGATGCATGAGTACGGGAAGATACACGCAGGGCGACTCATGGCTATACACTACTACCCCGTAGGTACTGTAGTTCCCTACGGAGGAGGGACTCGAGCGAGTCCTCCGTGTAGAGTTAGGCGTACCTTACGGTAAGAGCGATACGGGCGAAGGAACGCAAAATCGTAAGCAACGGGCGGTGATTGGCGTCCGGACGGACGTGTGACCCCACCTGGAGAACCCCACCGCCCCCCTTTTCGAGCCGGCTGCCGTCACCCGCTCAATACGGCGATACATGGAAAAGTTGAAAGTTCTGTGGTTCTCCCCGGTCTGGCTGGCTGACTGACACTCATCCTCTCTCTCTCTCTCTCTCTCTCTCTCTCTCCCTCCTCCTCCTTCCCCTCCACTACCACCGCCACCCGAACCGTCATACTTGTTCGCCTCTTGGATCGCCCCGACTTCTCTCTTCTCGACACTCTCTTCTCTACTCTCTTCCGATCCAGTGTTCATTATTCACTTCCTACAACTCCTGAACAACTCGATCTATACAATTTCAATCTATACACCCGGTGGATAGTTTCGACTTTTCTGATATTGCACATCTCACGTATCATACATAGCCGCCACTCGCCGAAAGCAAACGGAACGCACAGCAAGCAATAAGCAAGCATCCCCGCCGATCCGGAAATTCAGTCACGACCGTCTTTCCTGCCGAGGCAGATGCGTTAGAGCATCCCGCGAAAATGCCCGGAATCCTGCCTATGAAAGTTATCAAGGTCGGCAGCACCTCGCAGAGCCGTATCGCCCAGGCCTGCGACCGCTGCCGAAGCAAGAAGATCCGCTGTGACGGCGTCCGACCGTGCTGTACGCAATGCGCCAACGTCGGCTTCGAGTGCAAGACCAGCGACAAACTAAGCCGTCGAGCGTTCCCCCGCGGATACACGGAATCGCTGGAGGAGCGTGTCAGAGCGCTGGAGAGCGAGGTGAAGGACTTGAAGAACCTGTTGGACGAGAAGGACGAGAAGATCGACGTCCTGTCCCGCATCCATTCCTTCTCTTCGTCGCATCAAAAGTCCCGATCGCCGTCCGTGCCGGTTAAGACCGATGCATCCAACCCCAACGAGGATTTGATTCAGGTGCCGCAGCCGGAGGAAACGGCTGACGAGGAGTGTGCTGGCGTCTCGAATACTCATGGCTTCTCTAGTAAGTATTCAATCACTTTTGGGGTTCGAAGATGTCGCCGTTGCGGCCGTTGAGGCATTGCCACTCACCTTGTCTAGATACATTTACCAACAGACTCATGGAGCAAGGTCGATTGCCCTCGAATGTCTCGACTCGTGCTCTGAAGGCCTCGCCACCGCCTATTTCGCATTCCCGTGTCGACCAGGAGATCAAGACTGCGCCTCGCTTGGTGTCCGACCAACTCATCAACATCTTCTTCCAGGAATGGGCCCCTCTGTACCCGGTGGTGCACAGGCCCACAATCCTCAAAGCTTACGAGCAGTATCTATCAAATACGGAATTCCTGCAAAGCAATAAGCATGACATGACGCAATTGAACTTGATCTTTGGCATCGCCGCTCTTGCTTCGATTGTAAGATTGGACTCCTTCCCCCGCACTGAGTCGGCACGCTTTCGAGACCGACAGGCTAACCTCAACCTACAACAGTCGAGGACCAACCAGGATCCCACCTTCTTTGAAGACAATTGGTCGCCCACTTTGGAATTGCTTTCGAGTGATATCTCCATTTCCACGTTGCAGTGCTTCGTTCTAGCCCAGATCTATTGTATGACCAAGGGTGACTACACTAGCCTTCTGCGCTATCGGAGTCTTTCTGTTGGCATTTGCCATCAGTTGAGACTCCATCAAAGCCAGAAGCGCTTCTCGGCGAATTCCCTCTTGGCTGAGACCCGCAAGAAGGTGTTCTGGTGCCAATACGTACTCGACCGGTTTGTCCCACCCTGCCCGCCATCGTGAATGTAACGCTCTGACTCAGCCACAGTTTCACGGCCGCCTTGACCGGGTTGCCCGTCTCTCTACGCGAGGGCGACATCCGTACTGAGTACCCTGAGGATATCGATGACGAGAATGTCACGGAAACGGGCTTTTTGCCGACGCTGCCTGGCGAGTCGACCCGTGTGTCAGGTGCCATTGCCCTGTTCGCTGCCTCGAGGGTATTGAATAAAGCCTTGGAGGATTTGTACCCTTCAGATGGCGGTTACGACATCCCCGTGTCCAAAATGCGTTCGGTTGCAGGCCAACTGGACCAGTGGGTTCAGGCGTTGCCCGCTCACCTTCGCCTGGAATTCTCTCAGGATAAACCTAGCACGAACGTGACAAGTAGCCGTTCGCCGCTTTTGGTGCGTACTGACCCCGCTCATTTACTTCTCAGAACCCATCGCTAACTGCTTATTTAAGTCCCTTGTATACTACTTTATTCGTTCTTTGATCCATCGTCCCGCTGTCTGCTTCGGCGAGGAACATATCCGCTCGCCATCTGTGCTCGCCATCGCCGACTCGAGTAAGCACATCATTCAAATCTTGGAGCTACTTGACGAGCGGCGTCTTTGTCTTTCCGTCAGCATCAACCGCAAAGAGTTGGTATTTGCTTGTGGTTTGGGACTTCTCTGGCAGAATCTCGGCCTCAAGCGCGACAGCAAGCTTGTCAAGGAAAGCCAAAAGCTCCTGACGACTGTGGTCGACCAGATCGAGCCCGAGTCATCGCCTGCCGCCGCGGAATTTAGCGTCCTGGCGAAAATCTTGGTGTCGCTGGATAGAACCAAGCGTGCGCCCTCCAGTAAACCCCAAGAAATGTCGCCACCGACTCAGAAGCCCTTGAAATCTCCTAAGAAGCACTTGCAGTCTTGGAAGAACCGGTTAGCTGGTCATGCTAGTGTGGACCATCCAAGCAAGCAGGACTCCCCGTCGCGCCGGGCCACGATCTCTGGCGTGAGTCCGCAGGTCTCCCAACAACGGGTTAGATCTTCCAGCTGGACCAGTTTGCCGCCCGACAATTTCCACCCGATCCACGTTCCTACTTACGCGGCGCCTACGGGTAGCTACGACCCGAGCCAGGTAATCGCCAGCTCGGCCCCGGCGGACGGAACGTCGGGAACGATGACAATGTCGGACTGGGAGTTCGTGCTCAGCGACATGGACCGCGGGTACTCGAACATTTTCACCGGCATTTACGGCGGAAAAGAGTGTGGAGAAGACAGCGGGCCGTTCGCGTCGCTGACCGCCGAGTACGGACAAAAACCGGACCCCCGAGGCGTGCCGCTGGCTGCACCGCCAGCGGAGGTTCAGGGACTGTCGCCCGAAGCCTGGTCGGCCACCAGTGGCAGTGACATGCCGTCCAACCAGGATGTCGTGGCGCAAAGTGTGTTCAGCTACTCGGACGAGAGCATGGGCAGCGCGGAGGACGGCGTGGCGTACCATGACATGCGGCTGTCTCCGGAAGAGCAGGCCACTTTATTGGATCCGTTCCGGGGGGTCATGATGCCGGCGGTGGAGGACGAGGCGGACGACTTTGGCCTGGGCGGATGGGATCGGCGACTAGCCGTTTAAACCGAGATGGTTCGTTCAAACCGAATTGACTTTTGTGATTTTGGGAAAGATAGTGGTGTTTTTTTTTCTTTTTCTTTTTTGGAATGGCGTTTTATCTCTTTTGTTTTTCCTCTTCCTGTGATACCTGGTCAATTGTCGGAGTCTTGGGTTGAACATCACAAGCTCCGGGATGAAACACGGAGTGTTTGGATGTTTTCTTTTCTGATGTGTTTGACGTTTCATGTTTGTGAATTATGCGTTGGGATATGAATTTGGGCGCGTCTTTTACTTAAACGATTTATCCAGTGACCTTGTTCATGACCGAGGCACGTCGTACATACATAATGGTCACCGTACATGAAATTGATCTGATCGGCATCGCATTCCTTCTTCTCCCTCTATTTCCATGTTTTCCCCCGCGCAGAGGCGGGGTTGATTGACTTGACAGCTTTGACACTCGACGTATGCGGCGCTGCCATGCATCGCATTGCCCTCGACCTGTGCATGCACGAGGCGATGCAAGTCGGGTACATTCGGCCTTGCAGAGCTGGTTTTCTGTCCGTCATGACGTCGTCCAAGACGGTCTATGCTCGTATCCGCTCGAGGGAAGTGAAGCTGATATCAAATTCCCCGCTCTATCTACAACCTAGTTGCCTATACTTAGTCCAGCTAATCCGGAGTCGGCCGATCGCAGGAAGAATCCCGCAAGTCGGATTGGACGTGACGGGTTCGTTGGCGGCGAAGAGCTTGTGAAAGCCGGGGATTGACTTTTTTTTTGGGGTTTTTTTTTTTTTTTTTTTTTTTTTTTGGTCTAGTCTACCTACTTATTTAATTTGTGGTGGTGTTGCTTGAAATCTCTAGAAGAAAGAGGGGCACTCGGGTGGTGGCGGGGGACCTTGTTATGCTCCCCCTTGCGGTGAACATGCTTTCCATACCACCACCAAAACAATCTCGACCTAGTCCAGGAAATGAGACGTGAGAAATCCGCCATGGGATGAAGTAATCCCATCAGGATAAGTCTCCGATCAAATGAAGGAAAAGAATCTTCACACACCCACCGCCAGGGCATCGGAGCAGCGTCCTCCGGACCCAGAGGCTTTGAACCGTGACTAATGCTGAGTACTGTGCTCCGTAGCTGTAACTAAACATGATTATTGTTCTCCAGGCCGTGAGAGTGGGATGGCTTTCTGGTTAATATTGATTAGTTTCTCCGCGAGAGAAATCTCCGACGCGGAACAGAGCATTATTCAGTCGATTCCAGTCCAGACCGGGGGGCACGGATGACCGGCCAACTCATGGGATCTGCAGGGTGAAGTGTCTGGATAGATTGGGAAATAATCGAGAGAAAGGATGAATGTAGATAGAATATTAGAGTAGTAAAATAGAGAGGGAGATGGATAGATAATGTCAGATTGACAGAAGTGTGATCGGTTTTAAACAGGAAAAACTCCGGGGTTGAATTGAAGAAGAAGCAGAAGAAGAATGGATTTTGTTGAGATCATCGGAGGGGCTGTGGGTGCCTGAGGCAGACACTTTATATACTTGGCCTCGAGCAGAGTTCAGTCCAGGTCCCTCCGCTGGCATGAGGGATGCTACGGAGGACATGGAATAATATCCTGGGCGATACGACCTAGAGACTGTCCAGACAGTGTCCATCGGCCGCCATTCTGCAGCCTCGTCGTGCACCTCGACAGCGGACAGCAGACAAGACATGAATTCAACCCGGTGAGAAGAGAAAGCCCCACCGGAAGACATCATTGCCCCCACCTGCCCAGTTCAGAGACCCCTCCATCCATCCTGCCCGTTCGGTTCCCTCCTCTTTTCTTTGGCTCCTCTCCCTCTTCTCTTCTCTTTTCCTTCTCTCTCTCTCTCCTTCTTCTCTCCCATCTCTCTCTCTCCTCTTGTGGTGATTTTCCTTCCCCTGTCTTTGCTCTCAATTACACGCAAGACGGGCTGTTTTCTTGTTTTTGTCTAAAAAGTATATCGAGAGAAGAGTATGTTGGCCTCCGCTTGACAGCTTGATTCCATCCCCATAGCTAACGTTCGCCATCGCTAAAGACATCGCAATCATGGGTTACACCGACTTGGACCAATTGGCCATCAACACGATCCGTGTTCTCGCGGTACGTCTCTTAGGAATGCTCCAAGTCCTCATGCTCGCCGTGGCAGGAGAGAAGCTTCTGAGAGCTGCGGGCGAGTGGTTCCGGAACTGCGGGATTTAAGCTATGCTTTTCGATGGCTGTTCAATTTCCTTTGAAATGAAAGTCTCATCGTCACCTGCAATTCTTGCCTCGCACTCTCCGCAGCGTCTCCTCTCATTTCCACCCCACGGAACATGGGCTTCGGAGCACTCTTCACCGGCTTCCCCTTCTGATGCTAATTCTCCATCCAGGTCGATGCCACCTTCAAGGCCAACTCCGGTCACCCCGGTGCCCCCATGGGCATGGCCCCCGTGTCTCACGTTCTGTTCAACAAGTTCATGAACTTCAACCCTCAGAACCCCGACTGGGCTAACCGGGATCGCTTCGTCCTCTCGTATGTCTCTTGTTGTCTGTTCTTATCAGATTAGCGGCTAATCATTTACCCCTCACAGGAACGGCCACGGTTGCATGCTCCAATATGCTCTTCTCCACTTGTTCGGCTACAAGGTCTCCATGGATGACCTGAAGGCCTTCAGAGTAAGTTCTTATCAAGCTCTTTTTCTTAGTATCGATTCTCATCATCTAACCCCCTACAGCAACTCGACAGCATCACCCCCGGTCACCCCGAGGCTCACGACACCCCCGGTGTTGAGGTCACCACTGGTCCCCTGGGTCAGGGTTTCGCCAACGCCGTCGGTCTGGCCATTGCCCAGGCCCAGGCTGCCGGTACCTACAACAAGTCCGGCTACAACCTCTTCAACAACCACACCTACGTCTATTTTGGTGATGGCTGTGCTATGGAGGGTATTGCCAGCGAGGCCGCTTCCATGGCCGGCCACTTGAAGCTTGGCAACCTGATCGGTATCTACGACGACAACGGTATCTCCATCGACGGTGACACCAAGTGTGCTTTCACCGAGGACGTCACCAAGCGCTTCGAGGCTTACGGCTGGCACACTGTCTGGGTTAAGGACGGCGACAACGACCTCGAGGGCATCGAGGCCGCCATCCGCGAGGCTCAGTCCGTCACCGACAAGCCCACCATGATCCGCCTGACCACCACCATTGGTTTCGGTTCCAAGCTGCAGGGCACCGGTGGTGTCCACGGTAACCCCCTCAAGGCTGACGACTGCGAGGGCGTCAAGCAGCTGTTTGGCTTCGACCCCAAGCAGAGCTTCGTCGTTCCCCAGCAGGTCTACGACCTCTACCACAAGCGCGCCGCCGAGGGTGCCGCCAAGGACCAGGAGTGGTCCCAGCTTTTCCAGAAGTACACCTCTGAGCACAAGGCCGAGGGTGCCGACCTGACCCGTCGTCTCTCTGGCAAGCTTCCCGAGGGCTGGGAGAAGAGCCTGCCCGTCTACAAGGGCAGCGACGCCGCCGTCGCCTCCCGTAAGCTGTCCGAGGCCGTCCTCGAGAAGATCCACGACGTCATCCCCGAGCTGCTGTCCGGCTCCGCCGATCTGACTGGCTCTAACAACACCCGCTGGAAGAACGCCGTCGACTTCCAGCCCCCCGAGTACGGCATCGGCGACTGGTCCGGCCGCTACCTCCGCTACGGTGTTCGTGAGCACGCCATGGCTGCCGTCATGAACGGTCTTGCCGCCTACGGCGTCCACATCCCCGCCGGTGGTACCTTCCTGAACTTCGTCTCCTACGCCGCCGGTGCCGTCCGTCTGTCCGCCCTTTCCCGCGTCCGTGTCATCCACGTCGCCACCCACGACTCCATCGGTCTGGGTGAGGACGGCCCTACTCACCAGCCCATCGAGACCCTGGCCCATTTCCGTGCCCTCCCCAACTGCATGGTCTGGCGTCCCGCCGACGGCAACGAGACCAGCGCTGCCTACTACTCCGCCATCACCTCCAAGCACACCCCCAGTATCCTGGCTCTCACTCGTCAGAACCTGCCCCAGCTGGAGGGCAACTCCATCGAGGCTGCTCTGAAGGGTGCCTACCCCGTCATCGAGGCTTCCGACGCCACCGTCACCCTCATCTCCACCGGTTCCGAGGTCAGCATCTGTGTTGAGGCCGCCAGCTACCTGAAGGAGAAGCACGGCGTCACCGCCCGCGTCGTCTCCGTGCCCTGCTTCGAGGTTTTCGACGCCCAGGACAAGGCCTACAAGCTCAAGGTCCTCCCCGACAACATCCCCGTCCTGTCCGTCGAGGCCCTCACCACCATGGGCTGGGAGCGTTACTCTCACGAGCAGTTCGGTCTGAACCGCTTCGGTGCCTCGGGTCCTTACAAGGATGTCTACAAGGTAAAATAGCTTTTCACCCCTACCCCAATTCGTACTCATTTACTAATTCGGAATTCAGAAATTCGAGTTCACCCCCGAGGGCATCAGCAAGCGCGCTCTGGCCACCATCGACTTCTACAAGGGCGTTCCCGTGCGCTCGCCGGTCAACCGTGCCTTCCAGCAGATTTTGTAGATGTCTTCTCATGACCTAGCGACATGATGTTTTCACGTTAACTTTTTGTTATGAAATGTAACTTGGGACGATATTGATCTCTGGTCTGCCAGGGAGAAGTCCTATTTATTCCAATCCACGGCTTGACGAATTTTGTTTTGAGAAAACTGCGTGCCCATTTCTGTTCATAATTTTTTTTTTTGATCTGAATTGGCCCTGTAGTAGATTTAGAGGGAAAATCCTAGTCTACAAAAAAAGAATACCACTTTCAATGTTAATCTCGAGTTTACACTTGATTCTGGCGCATATAGAGCGTCCGTTTGGATAGATTCGATTGATGATTTTGGGATCACATCTGGACATTATCAAGCCGGATGGCCAGCAAGGTCTTCGCTTCCCACGAAGGGATCATTACCGCAGTACAACGAATGCCACCCAGGGTATTAAGTCAAGTCGTTATCTTCGAATCATCTTGGATTATAAGACCCCATTGGCGCCTCTAGATAGAGAATACGAGTCTTTCCTCCCCAAGTTATCAAAAGCTGGAAAGAAAGAACGGTTCGGAGACCGAGATCCAGAAGCACAGGAAACCAGATAAGAGATAGAGATAGAGAGAGGAGGGAAAATAAAGATTTAGGAGGGGGTAATCATAAGAATTTCTAAACCAGAGAAAAAAAAGAGATTAAGATAAAGAAGGAACAACCCTAGTTGTTCAGAGCCTTGCGGGCAAAGTTAGGCAGCACGAAGCTGGCGCGGTGGATGTCCTGGTTGTAGTAGCGGCAGAGACGCTCCTCCTCCTCGCGAGACCAGGTGCGAGAGGGCTCGCGCACGTTGCGGTTGGCGTCCTTGCAGCAGACCATGAAGCCGATCTGGCCGGAGGGGTAGGTGGGGATGGTGGTGTAGGCGTATTCGGCGACGGGGAAGACCTCCTTGCAAGCCTTGCGGAGGTTGGAGATCAGGGAGAGGTGAAGCCATTGGTTTTCGGCTGGAGGGGGAAACGCTAACCCAAAACCAAGCCCGATATGGTCGGGCGGTTTAGGGGTGCAGATAGGTTAGCTTTCGAGGCTTCTTCAAGGTAAATCAGAGTGCGATGGTTGGTGATGATAGGATGTCAGAGAGGGGTGAGTATAGAGAAATAGAGAAAAGCGGAGAGAGAATAGAGCGATATATATAGAGAGAGAGAGAGAGAGAGAGAGAGAGAGAAGAATAGACAGAAGATAAAAAGAAAGGAGCGAAAGAAAATACAAAGGGGGAATAGTGATTGTGGAACAGAGGGCAGTAGACAGATAAAAAGAAAGGCGACGAACAACCTTGTGTGGTGATGACACCTCCCTCGCGGAGAGCACCGTTGAGGAGCTCGAAGTAGGGCTTCTGGAAGAGGCTCTCAGCGGGACCCTCGGGGTCGGAGCTGTCGGTGATGATAACGTCGAACTCGTTCAGGCGGTTCTTCAGGAACTCGAAGCCATCGCCAATGTGGGTCTTAACGTTGGGGTGCTGGAAGCCGATGCTCATACCGGGGAGGTACTTCTTGGAGACACGGATGACGGCCTATAGAACGGTGGTGAGTCGTTACATGGTAGGGTTCTTCTGCGCATCCAGAATCATCACGGACGGTGGACATGAATTCATACCTCGTCGATGTCGCAAAGGATGGCCTCCTCGACGGTCTCGTGCTTGACGACCTCACGGAGGACACCGCCATCTCCACCACCGATGACCAGGACCTTCTTGGGGTTGGGGTGAGCGTTCATGGCCAGGTGGGTGATCATCTCCTGGTAGCTGAAATTTTATGAGTATTTTGTCCATGTGGAGAAGGGAGGGGTAAATGGAGAAAGAAAAGAAAAAAAAAACATACGAGAACTCATCACGCTCGGTGCACTGGATAACGTTGTCCAGAACGAGAACGGTACCGTAGTCGCTGCTCTCGAAGACCAGGACATCCTGGTACTTGGACTTCTCGTGGTGCAGGATCTGGTTGACCTTGAGGTTCATAGCCTGACCGGGCCACATCTCGGACTGCTCGGAGAACCAGCCATCTAGCGGGGAATGAAGGTTAGCGAGACAATTGAAGCGCATTGAGAGAGAAGGGATCAACAGAAGAACCCCGGCTGTCTGCTCAACTCAGGAATTGACCCATTGAGACCGATGGTGGTCTGGCAGAGCAAGGCGGGGTAGTTGGCAGGCCGTGGAGGGGCTGAAGATCAAGATGCAGGATCATGAAGATAGTGGGGGGAAGGGAAGGAACATACCCTTGATGGTAGGGTGAGTGATGTCGGACATGGTGATGGAGTGGTAGGAAGGTCGAAGACGAGAAGACGAGGGGATGAAGGGAGAGAAGGATGGAGAGAGGGAAGAGGAAGAGGAAGAGAAGGAAGAGCAGAGAGAAGAAGAAGCGCGGCGCAGGTGGGGGGAGACGAGGAAATTCATGAAATTCTTATTCATGATTCTCGTATGTTTGCGGTATTTTGCAGTACGTCGCCCGCTTTGGGGTTGAATGTAATTTTTCTGGCGGGAAAAAGTGGGAGGACGGGCGGAATGGACAGGATTCAAGCCTTCTGTCCTACCTTCGGCTTATTTCATGTCTCACTTTCTGACTGCCACCTGCAATCCTTGGTTCTTTGTTCATCCTGTTGGGCATCAAACAGAGCAACAGGCGAAGGTAGTTACCATGAGATACTGAGATTACCTACTCAATACCAGTACCAGCCTTACCCGAAAGGGCACAACTACCGCCAGCCAATGGCCGCATCCAGAATTCACGGCGTCATCCAGTCCAGAGTGTGTGTTATTACGTCTCATCAATTATTTTATGTCTCGGAGGATTTCTCAACCCAGTAGTAGCGCGCAACTCTTTCGATTGCTTCTAGTTACTGTACAATTGCAATCACCGTCCCTTCCGTGCCTCCGCCCAACCGGCAGGAAGTGCCCTCATTCCAGAGATTTCATTTACTCATCGTCACCACCCTCGGCGAGACGGCCGGGCTTGGACTGGAGGTAGTGGTTTCTGTGAAGCGTTGAAGTTTGCGGTCAGTCCCGATCAATTCCCATTTTCAGTGCCCGGCGAGCGCAACATACCGGTCAATGGCCCAGTTCATGGCGACGTAGGCGGCAATGAAGGGAGGAGCCACGTAGAGGACCTGAGCGCTAAAACGGCGGAAGGTGTTGAAGATGGCGGCGTTGAAGGCACCGGCAAGAGGGCGCTGACGGTTGGGCGACAAAGAGTAGGTCGCGATGCGCTGGGGAGTAGGGCAGCCTGTATAGGAGCGAAGGAAGCTGGGTCAGTCTTTGTTCGGAGAGGTTCTCGCTCGGTCGGGAATCGCGTTGCTCGCTTGTCGGGATCGCCAGGGCGAGCACTTTGGGGGGTTGAGAGAAGACAACGAAGTCCAATGGCTCTTCATGTATCCCGTGTTCATCCTGTCTGGCGATATCTCGTGGCGGTATCAGGGTCCGGGAACCTACCGAGATCACCCCATCCTCCGATGAAGCTGTCGTCACGCAGAAGTTAGCATTCGAGTATTCATGAAGTTAAAGGTATTCCACTCGTTGTAGAATTGACCTGCCCAGGCATCCTTCATGAACGGCAACGCAGGGTTGACCGTGACCGAAAGGATGACCGGAAGGGCAAGGACCAGCACCAGCACCACGGCAAAGAAAAAAAGGGAAACCACTCACAATCCGTTCTTAGGATCGATAGAAGAGCCACCCATTGTGTAGGTATTGAGATGAAGAGAGGAAACGGTGAGAGAGCGAGGCGGGCAGCGAGATAGAGAGCAGGAGAGAAGTCGAGGACTGAGGTTCGGGCCAAAACGGCGAAGTTGAGAAGAGTCAGGGCGCTAGACCGGATCGGGCCAGCCTGCGAAAAGCCCGACATCATCTAAGCTCCTCTCCTCTTTGCAACACCTCTTACTCTGCTCTCTCCCTCCCATCTTCCCCGCCAGCCTCCACCTCCATCAACTCCCCCTTCCCCCACTCTCATAATGGCTGCCAACGGTTCTACCCGGCTGATGCGCTGGGCTGTCGGCCTGTTCGCCGGTGCCTACGCCGTCGACGCCTCCATCTACGACGTCCGTGGTGGTAGCCGCGCCGTCATCTTCGACCGCTTGTCCGGTGTGCAGGACAAGGTGTCCAACGAGGGCACCCACTTCCTGATCCCCTGGCTGCAGCGGTCCATTGTCTACGACGTCCGCACCAAGCCTCGCAACATCTCCACCACCACCGGCAGTAAGGATTTGCAGATGGTCAGCTTGACCCTGCGAGTGCTACACCGTCCGGATGTCCCGAAGCTGCCGATTATCTATCAGGTATGTCCCCTCTCTTGCTCGATCATTCTTCGGGTCACCTCCGTGCTCGTCTCTAGTTCCTAGCTTCCATCCCCCAGGACAGAGTTGGCTAATGATCGGTGGGGAAACTAGAACTACGGTACCGACTACGACGAGCGAGTCCTCCCCTCCATCGGCAACGAAGTGCTGAAATCCATCGTGGCCCAATTCGACGCCGCCGAGCTGATCACCCAGCGTGAGGCCGTCTCGAACCGCATCCGCACGGACCTGATGAAGCGCGCCTCGCAGTTCAACATCGCCCTGGAAGACGTCTCCATCACCCACATGACCTTCGGCAAGGAATTCACGCGAGCCGTCGAGCAGAAGCAGATCGCCCAGCAGGACGCCGAGCGCGCCCGTTTCATCGTCGAGCGCGCCGAGCAGGAGCGCCAGGCCAACGTCATCCGCTCCGAGGGTGAGGCCGAGAGTGCCGATATCATCAGCAAGGCCGTCGCCAAGGCCGGCAACGGCCTCATCGAGATCCGTCGCATCGACGCCAGCAAGGAGATCGCTCACACCCTGTCGGGTAACCCCAACGTGACGTATCTGCCGGGTAGTGAGGGCAAGGACGGCGGTAAGAGCACAAGCCTTCTGCTGGGATTGCGGAGCTAGAATGGTGAAGCTGCGGAGCGTTTTCAATATCTTTTTCTCTTTCTTCCTCTCCTCCCGTCGACCTTGAACTATATCTCTTATTTCCGATTTCAAAACCTGGCTGGATCTTGGGCGTGCATGATCTCCCCGGCGAACTGATGTTGTATGGTTAATTCTCTTTGTTTCTGATTGTTCCTTAACCCAACTGTAGCAATAGCATATATCTATTCCTCTCTGCATACCACAATGGACTGCATTTCGTCGGCTGCGGTATTTCTGTATCCAAAAAGCATTTTTATATCATATATCGTGCAAGCAGATCGTAACCAGTAACCTTCATCCCCACATGATCGTCTATAAATATAGATCCCCCTCGTAAATCTAACTTCTGTTCCAAAACCCCAACCCCAAAAAAAGTGTTCATATATATAGGCATATATATTACTTACCCATCCAACCGCCGATAAATATGAACCTGAAATCGCATATCCTCCAACCCCGCCCCCTCCCCAACATCCCAGCTCAGCCTGGCGGCCTCTCTCCGCCACCATCGGGAATCCTGCGAGAAGACCCGTTCCCACTTCCCCTTTGCCACGGACAGCAAAGCATGATCCAGCAGGAACTTCATCGGGTAATTCCTCTCCTGCGGCGCCGAAGCCGCAACGGCAGTATCCGCCTCACCACTCGCGTCGCTCTTTTTCGTATTACCCTTCCCCAGCTTCAACGTCGAATAGCTCCCGGGGCTGTCGACGACCAGCAGCACAGTCCCGGGTTGGATGAGATCCGTCATACGGAGTAGGAATCCCGTGGTTTTCGCCATCGACGTCGAGAAGAGTTCGTTCAGCGTGAACATCAACGTCACCAGGACGGTGGTGGCGGGTTTCTCGCCCTCTCCCTCGCCCTCTCCCTCGCCCTCTCCTGCTCCATCGAGTTGGCGCCGTTGCGTTGAGGGCGTCGACGACGAAGACGCAGGGAGATGCAACAGCTCCCGCAGCCCCTCGTCCGAAAGAGTCAGCACGTCGGAGCGTTTCGACCGCACGCTGAAACCGCCCCTGACGGGATCGACCAGGGGCGCCGCGTGGCTTTTCGACCCGCGGACGTCCGACGACCCGATCGTCGACGCCAGTCGATCCACGACGGTCGACCAGTCGGCGATATCGACGGCCGTGACGGTGAGAGCTGGCCTCGTTGGCGAGGCCGGCGTAGAACTCGACGACGAGGTGGACGGCGCGTCGGGGGTCTCGTTTAGAGAAGTGGCCGCGACGCCGTCGACCAACAGCGTCTTCTCTGCGCGCTCATTCATCAAGTCGCGCCAGATAGCCGCCAACGCGACGATCTCGGCCCCTGCGCCGCCGCCGAGGCAGACGACGTGCTGGTGCGTGACGTGGCTCGTCGCAGCATCAGCATCATCGGGGCCTCCTGCTGTGGGGAGGAGGGCGTCCTTGAATAGCGCCTTGAAGAGGCCCGCGTAACCAAGGGCTCGCGAGGTGCTCCAGCGTAGGGCGTACGCGCGGAGCAGGTCGCCGCTGGCGTCGGTGAAAGCGGAGTCGAAGTCCCGGTTGTACAGGTGGGATTTGATGGTCTGGATGAGGGATTTGATGTCGAGTTGGCGGGGCTCGGAGTCGGTGGCCGATGCATTGTTTGTCTCCTCAGTGTTTTGGGTTGGACCGGGTGTGGTGAACAATGCCGATCTGAATACATTCAGGAGTAATTGTTGCAGGGTGAGTGGGATGGTGGCGGAGAGGTCAACTGCACTCTCTTCTTCCTTCTCTTTCGGGGCGGACTTGCTCGGATTGTTCCGTCGAGGCGCCTGCGATGGTTTCTTTTTATCCTTGGCGGCCTTTTGGAACGACCCTTGTCGAGGTGGTCCCATATTGAGCTCGGGAATTTGGAGCTGTAATTGTGACTGCGCAAGGGATGAAGTGGAGATAAATTTTGGAGATGTATATTTTTGACGGGGTTGTTAGCATCGGCCCGTCGGAACCGAATTTATCGCAGAAAATGTGGTTTTCTCTTCCCTTTTCACGCTCGTTCCTCTAGCTTACTACACGTTTACGATGATAAAAAAATACTTATCCACAAATGGTCAAGGAGTGTAGATATGATATTCTGCAGGCAAACAAAAAAAGTCTGAAATAATCAGATGTCCTCGCGAGTTTCTAAACCCATAGATACAGCATCGAAATGAAGAATAAAGGAATGATCCCAATTGGACATGATTGACACGGACAATCGCCACATAAACAAATATTCCATAGAATGATGATAGTAAAGAAGAGGGGGGAAAGGGGCAGATGCACAGTGGACCGCCAGAGAGTAAGAAGAAAAGAAAAGAAAAGAAAAGAAAAGAAAAGAAAACGGGCTCCAAATAACGGGAGAATAAGAAAAAGTAAGGAGAATGATGATAATGATTTGTCCGCAAATCGCAACAGGACTTTAACGAGAGACAAGAAAGTGTAAAAAGAATCGATAAAAGAGCTTTCATGCTCTTACGCTTGTAAACATATACCGAGAAAAGAGATTCGTCAGTTACCCCAACAAATAAAAGAAGAAGAAAAAAGGCTAAGAGTTGAAGAGAGAAAAAAATCGAAGGCGCAATACGAAAGATCTTGCAAAGACCATGTCGAACGATTCGTGAACAGGCTGGCTATGTACAGGTGATCCATTTTCCGATTCGGTTCATGATGGTCGTTCTTCCTGAAAAGAATTATCGTTCAACCGGTCCTTGTCCTTCGTTCTCCAGAAGTGCATCAAGCGACTAATCCGGTGACCCTTCTTCTTAGACTTTTCAGGCTCGTCACTGGGCGGTTTCTCCTCGTGACTAAGCTTACTCCTCTCAGCGTGAGGCCCAACGACCAGTTTCGATAGACTGGCGAGGCTGGAACGCTTCGGAGCATTGGCTTGACTGGTTCGTCGGTGGACTGCGGCGGAGAAAGATGCCGAGCGGTCGGTTGACAACCGAGACCGCTGGAAAAATGTCGCCGAGAAGCGGTTGAACGTATTGGTCGTCGTTGACGCACTGCTGGTCAGCGATGGTACGTCGTCGGCAGATGCATGAGGAAATTCCATTGAAGGATTATAAGAGGGATTCGAGAAATTACGATCGGTGGTAGACGAAGTGGTAATCGAACGCGGAAAATCGGGAGACGAGCCAGGAAGGTCTGGAGATGGGAAGGAAAAGTTCGAAGCGGAACTGACACCCTGGAGAGAAAGCGGGGGTATATTGGGGGTAAATTCCATCGGTGATGTCGCAGGCCGGTGATCTGCGGGCAAGAAACGAGGTGAAATGTCCGGACTAGGAGGTACGGGCACCTTGCGGAGCCACTCTTCTTGCTTGACCGACTCCACCGGGGTTCTGGGCTGATTGGAAAAGGGGTTTCTTGCATTCCGCAGTTGATCGGCAGCAGTCGGTGGCTCTGCAGGTTTGGAGTCTTCCTGGTTTGTCGATGTAATGGGGGAGTCCGGAGCGCCGGCCACTTCGTGCTTTTGGATCCCAAGGCCAGCCTGTTGCGGATCGGTTGAGCTATCCCCCGCTTGACGGGTGAGTGTATCAGAGCTTTCCTTGCTTGCCAGCGACTGCTCGTCGGCATCGCCTTCGACAGTTTGTGACGATGCTTGCTCATCACTTTCGCTCGTAGCCGCCAAAAAGGCATCCTCTTCCTCCTCGTAGAAAACATCGGGATTTTCCATCGCCGCATTGTTAGCCAATCGGTTGTTCAAAAAGCTGCGGTCGAAAGGCGGCATTTCCGGGGCACTTTCTGCGCGCCGATGATAACGCATCTCTGGGCCAACAAACTCGCCCCGTCGACCACCGCTGTACATGCGCTTTGTTGCCGCCGAAAAACCAGTCTCAGGAACATTTCCAGATCGCATATCCGGTGTATTGAAAGGGCCCAGCGCAGCGTCCAGATCGATAATTGGACTCAAAGCATCATTCAGCGTGCCTTGTTCGTAAAAGCTCCTAGGTTTCCAGGAGCTTTCTAGCGATGGTTGGCCATCGACTTCATCAGTGTCGACAAGGGAAATCGGGCTAGTGGGGTTGGTAGGAGTCCGAATGACAACAACGCTGTCATCGTCAAAGTCCACATCCAGGCCTGAGCCAAGATCTGAATTGGTCCGGGTAATTACAGGCGGAGGAGCTGACTTGGGCCCTGTATCATGATTCGAGGGATGTCGCTTGCCCTTGCCTCTCGTCAAAATTGCCCCAGCCCACGAGCGAACCTTTTTCTGCCGCTTTTTGGCCTTGGAGCTCTTCTTTGACGTTCCCTGATCCTCGACAGATGTCAAAGAGTCGTCATCAGATGAGGAATTTCTCGAATTTTCTGGCCAGCGGCTGCCGTCACCCATTCCTCCATTCTTCCTCAGTGCTGCGTCAAGAATCCCTGCGGACATGCTCTTGCGGAACCGCGAGTGACCGGCAGCCGAAAGGGGCCGTTTTGATCGCGGAAAATCGTCAGTTCCGGCGCTACCGCTCATGTCCAGCATCAGTGACGCATCGGCGGTTCTCGGTCGAGGCTTGGGTTTCTGGCTTGCGCGAAACGACGTTTCGTTTGCCGACGGGGCCGGGGTGTCATTATTTCTAACGACATTGGGTGGTTGTATTGTGCTTTCGGAGTCCCTCGAGACTTCGGATAGAGGCCGTTCGACCGCGGGGAAAACGAAGGATGTTTCGGACTCAGAAGGGTTCGAGGGTTGCCCATTTATCGTAATCTGAGGAGAGGCGGGCGGGGTCGGTCGACTTAAAGCGGTTGCCGAGTAGGAGATCGGTTTGTGGGTGGTATCTGAGGTGCCGGGATCCCGCATTCCATCTGCTGGCGTGCACGGGGCGTTCCCCATCAAGCCTGCCGGACCAAACGCATTCGTGATAGCAGTCAAGTCCACGCTAGAGACAGCCTCAGAGCGACGATGGGCATGGCGACGCCTTCCGGGGCCGACCGCAGAGAAACCGGGACCTGGAGCAGGGAGTTTGGCAGGCCCGGGTACGGGAGTTGGGTCCTCGGCTTTCTGATCGGCTTCCACCGTTCCAGGACCGACCATGTGTTCACCGCCGACAAATTCGCTGCATCGTCGACGATGTCCGACCGGTCGGTTCGCCGGGGGTGTCGGTAACGTGGGCTGTGTCGATTGTACCGCACCCGGGTTGAAGGAGAAGGCCGGAAGTGAACGACGGGCATTCGGCGGAGGTTCCGCCGTCCGAGGCATTGGGTCTGGTTCTCGGGCAGGGAAGACAAATGGAGGGTTCGGGAGCGGCGTAGACATGGTTAGATGACGGCGGCTACGTCCGCTGGGAGGTTGACCGAGCGGTTCGAAGTGTTGAGAAAACGCTGACGAGTGCTGAGGCGGCAGAGGAAGAGAGATCGAAGCCATGACCGAGGATCGATGGAGTTAGAAGACCAAGTTCACATTCACCTCGAGTCCACAAGTTATCCGATCAACCCCGTGGTAGTACGTTCACAGTTGATGTGATCCAGACGCACGGGGACCTCCAGACGAAAAAAAGACTTTGTCTGGAGGTCTTCAAATTCGCACAGAGATCATTGAAGTTCCTGGACCCAAGTCACGTAGTCCAGAGCAGCGTCGAGTAGTCGATAAGATTGATTGCAAGACCAAACCGGGAAGAGGGGAAAGAAAAAGCCTCCTAAGCGCACGGGGCAAAAGTTGACAGTCGAACGCTTTAGTTAAATTGAACCGAATAAAATAATCACAGATAAAGTTGAAATCAAGAAACCATGCAAAAAAAATAGGGCGGCAAAGTAATATTTTGTCGTGCAGGCTGGAAGAAGAAAAAAAGAATATTGTAAGGAACGGACGGCCACGGGTAGGCCAGAAAGTACGGAGGTTGTCGGAAGAAAAGGAGAAACGAGTGGAAAAGAGCGATAAGAGAGAAAAAGTTGTGGTGAGAAGAAAAAGAGGGAGAGGGAAAGAAGAGAGGAGGAGGAGGGGAGGGAGGAGAGAAGAGGAGAGAGAGAGAGAGAGAGAGAGACAGAAAGGTCGAAAGAGAGAGAGAGGAGAGAGGAAGAACCTGGAAAAAGGAAAATGAGGTCGAAGGAAGGAGAGGATGATAGTTGTAGTGACGGGTCGCCGTACGGAGGAGCCAGTGCCAAATACGGCGGATTGCTGGGCGAGGAAGTGGAAAATAATCATGAAATGGCTGACTTGCAGCAGAACCAACCTAAAAAATCGGGTGGGGAGGGAGGAGAAAATGGCGACGTCAGGGGATGATTGGCCGGTCGCCCGGCGAGAGGGGGGTGGATTACGCTTGGGTTTTATTAGGTACAAGAGTTACGCTGTACAGTACAGAGTACTACCTGTGTCCAGGTGGTTGATTAGGTATTATGTACTCCGTACTCCGTATTGTGTATTATTTCTTATTTATTTTTATTTTATTTCTGGTTTCCCTACGGGGTACGGATACTCAGCAGGACTATTGATTGTGACCCCCTTTCAGATGGTCCAGGGAACTACTGTAGGTACTATCTACTAGACTCCCCAGCGACCTGTCTGGGCACTTGGCTTGCGCCGTCCCCGATGAGAACTGATATCGGCGACATCACTCATTCGCCTGAAGAGTGGTGACATCCCGATTACTTCCTTCACTACGACTGGACTAAGATAGCTTAGTATCATTTAGATGCATCTCGGTTTCTACGGGGAAATTGACGGTGGAGAGCATTTCGGATGGCTGCGTCCCCTTCAGGTTGGCCTACTTGTCATTCCCCCGTCATGATTCGACCGCCCGAACGTTTACCTAAATTTCCTTGTTTCACGGAGTATTCAGAAGAAAAGTCTGAAGAAGTGACTGCCCTCGAGGATCCCTGGCCTGGGTCCTTTGTTCTTTGTCGAGGGAACCGAACATGTAAGTCAAAGACGTCA